TCGCCTTAGCGTAGGCCAACCCTATGCCGTCGGTGGCGCCCGTGATCACAGCCCACGTATTGGGCCCACCCCTCCACTTGGCACCGGCGCCACAATAGTAGGCTAAGCCGTACTTCCATACGAGTTGCGGTATTTTCACGCAAATCCATAGTAAGACTAATAATGATATTATGAGTAGTATTGCGATGAATACTATTGAGACAATCGATAACTTTATGGTCACATCCATTGTCTTAAAAAATAGTATTTAATACACAAATAAATACATAATACACACAAAACTTGTTGTTTTTTTGACACTCATATGTAGTTTTAGTTTTTTGTTTAAGACTTTTTTGTATGACTTTCCTCTGAGGCGACTGTAAACCTCTGAAAGAAGTCCTAAATTTTTTTGTTAAGCTTTCGCTGCTATGTTATCATCAGATGTTTTTTGGAGGCAAACAAAACACATGAGTGAACACAACAGGTCTGCAATTGGGTAATCAATTAGATGTATGCGAGGGATAACCTAATTTAGTGGTGGAACTGGTTTTTTTCAGCCAAGTCTTACGGCATACCATTCCCTTATGCCTTATGTCATAGTGTTTTTTGGAGGTCTAATAGAGTCTCATATAAAAAAGTTTTTTAGCGAAAGTTTTTCCCCTAAAATACATGTATTGCAGTCTATATGCGAAAGTGATGTCAAACCAGTTCCCTGAATATTAATCACTGAAATTAATTAATAAATTAATTATTTTTAACCCAATTCTCTATCACTATTGCATTGTTTCCCATAGAAATGTATAGATTTTAATCCATTAATCAAATCTTATGATAAGGTTTTTGGGTATAAAGAGTAAAATGTTTTAATAAAGAAAAACTTTTATGTGTTTTATTTTTGTTAATTCAAAATTCTTTAGTTAAAACTTTTCATAAGTTTTATTATAAGTCTTATTTATTATATACTATTTGTTTATCATAAACAGGTGTTGAATAAAAAAAAGTGTTTTAAATTTCGTGATTTAATTAATGATTTAAAGATTATTACTAAACCCAAAAACTAAAATACATAAAATAAAAATTGCTTGTTAATCAATTTTAATGAATAATAAAAATAATAAAATACATGCGAATAGTATTGACATTAAGATCAATAAATAATAATCAGATAATCGCTTATAAACACAAAACTCATACATAAAAGTCATTAAAACCTCAATTACTTTATAATAATTAACACAAAAATCAATGAAAAAGCCTACAAGTAAACACACTATTAAACAGCACTAGTAGCACCGGTATCTCATCGTGGTAACAGGTCATCGAGTGCTGCGAATGCATAGCTGGTGGCCGCCCAGACAGCTGTGCACAGATCCAACTGATGCGAGTCCTCCACAGTCATGGTATCGCCATTTGAGTGGTGATAGTAGAAGTAGGTCTCGTGGGCGTTGTCCAGACTACTACCCGGCACACCCGCCGCCATCAGGTAGTCTATGTCGGAGCCCTCCTCATTGAGGGTCAATTTGGTGGCGTTTATAGTGTTCAGCGATTGGAGTATTTCGTTGACAATACACTGGGCCGTGGAGTTGGTGCCCGAGAAGGTGATGCCCAGTGGGGTAAAGGTGCCGATGTCCGACTCCATGGCGATACTCATACGGTTTAGTTCACCGGCGTGTTGCTGTAATATAGCGGAAAATTAATTATACTTTAAATGATACAATAAATTAAAATTAATTCATAAACTGTAAAAAAAGTTCACATAAATTTGGGCCCTTTTGTAACACATAGGCATGGCTACATTAATACGTGGCGTACTAGCAAAAGGGCCTTAAATGGTGCAATAATTAACAAGTATTTTAAATAACTATTACCACTATTAAATTCAAAATATTTGTATACTATTTATAATTAACTATTAGATTAAATTAATTTGAGCTTAAAATTCATAATAAATGTCCGTTTTGTGGGCCGAATGACAGGCAAAATAATAGCCTTTCCCATGTGTTAGGTTAGGTTAGGTTAGGTTAGGTTAGGATGTCTGTGTTAATAGCCTTACAGCGCGACCCCTCATACTTCCAGTTACGCTATCCTAACTGGAATTGAATGCCTACCGGCCCTCCCATAAGTACATACCTTGGCGTAGGCCTGGACTCCGATGAGACCCATCTCTTCGCCCGTCCACAGGACTGACCGCATCGTCCGCTTAGGTTTGAGTCCCAACTTCTTGATGACCGATAGGGCCCGCCATGAGATAAAAGCGCCGCCGCCGTCGTCCATAGCTCCCTGTCCCACATCCCACGAGTCCAAATGGCCCGACACTAGCACTACCTGTTCATCAAACACACAATTATATCAGGGTAAGAAGTTTTAGGTAATTTTTTTATGTCAAATACTTCGTTGGGTTTATCAGTTCCGGTGATTTCGCTGACAGTGTTCCGGGACGTGCCCTCCCTGTCCGCCATACTGGCCTCCATATAGAGACTTACGTTCACTTTGACCCCTAATTAATGAGTTTTTGATGAATAAAATTAAGCATAAGTTTCGGGAAAAGTCAGACAAAAAAAGTGTTGGGGAAAGTCATACCTCTGGCGGCCAGTCGACCGAACAGCTCCGCGTCCTCTACGGTGATACTGACGGCCGGTATTTTCGGGACACCACTCTTGTAGGCTTTCCAATGAATTTAATAAAAATTATGATTTTTTTATAATTATTTTCCAGTAACTGTTGCATACATTGCATCCCAGTATGTGGTGAGTTGATTGAGAAGGGTGTCACTGATCGCACCTGGATATCAAATAAATGCATTATTATCAGTGTAAAATGGTGTGGTTAAGTAGCATACCAGTGCTCCGATGGCGCCGTATTTGGCGGCCTCACTGGCTCCCGAGCCCCTGTACTTAACGGACTCGCCATAGCCCTTGAAGTCGAAGTTATAGACCACAAACTTTCCCTTCACTTCTTGGGATCTGTTCGCCAACTCCTCGAAAGTCTTGACCACAACTATCTCGCCGGTCAGTACCTGTCCATCGGTGCCCACACTGTAGCCCAGGCCCAGGATGTTCAGGGGTTTCACGCGCGGGCTAACCATTTGCGCCCATTCTTTGCCTCTTGTCTTATAAACAAAATCATAATTTTTAACACAATTTTGCAATTAGTTTATAAATTGTTACTAAATTATAATTATAAATTGAACCGGCTATAATTAATTTATTGAATGCTAGTTATCATA